ACACTGCTAGCCCGCTACACTGCTATCCCGCTCACTTCACACTGCCAGGTAATGTATTATAACGTTTTTATGTTCAATCAATAAAGTTTTAGATTTTAGCCCGCTGGCCCGCCAGCCCGCCCAGTTTAGACTGCTAGCCCGCTACACTGCTAGCCCGCCCACTTCACACTGCCAGGTAATGTATTATAACGTTTTTATGTTCAATCAATAAAGTTTTAGATTTTAGCCCGCTGGCCCGCCAGCCCGCCCAGTTCACATTGCTAGCCCGCTACACTGCTAGCCCGCCCACTTCACACTGCCAGGTAATGTATCATAACGTTTTTATGTTTTCACTCAATAAAGTTTTAGATTTCAGCCCGCTGGCCCGCCAGCCCGCCCAGTTCACACTGCTAGCCCGCTACACTGTTAGCCCGCCCACTTCACACTGCCAGGTAATGTATCATAACATTTTTATGTTCAATCAATAAAGTTTTAGATTTTAGCCCGCTGGCCCGCCAGCCCGCCCAGTTCACACTGCTAGCCCGCTAGACTGCTAGCCCGCCCAGTTCACACTGTTAGCCCGCTAGGCTGCTAGCCCGCCCAGTTCACACTGTTAGCCCGCTAGACTGCTAGCCCGCTCAGTTCATACTGTTAGCCCGCTAGACTGCTAGCCCGTTAGCCCGCGTACTTCACGGACATAATGCTTCATGTAATTAAAAAGTAGTAATACAATTAGTTTATCGAGAAATCGAGCCTTCAACTTCGCGACTGCAATGTCATCCTACTTACCATTAGGTCGTTAGGTCGCAATTATACAAATCGAACCTTCGAGAACTTTATTATCATTAAAGATTAATGAGTAAATCATGAATTACGGAAACTTACGAAAAACATCCCGAAAGTTGATCAGTATCAGGTCAATATTCCCAAAAAAAATATTTTAAAAAACCCCAAAAATTTATTTTAATAAAATTCCCCCATAAATCACACAATATTTTTTTTTTTTTTTAATAATATGGATTTTTTTCAAAAAGGGAATTTTTAGGGATTTAAAGTTTTTTATGTTTTGCTAACCCATGAACTATTTACAGGGCTGTTTTAAAAATTTACATTTTTTGAATTCCCCCTTAACAGGTTTCCAGCTTTGGGTTGGGGAGGGGTATTAAAGGAGGAAAAAGCTTTTGTTTACTGGTGCTGTTGGGGTTTTTTGGTTTTTCCATCCTAAGATATTTCTCCCATTTGGGTTTTTTCCGGGGAAAACAGCCTAACTTAATCTTACTGTGGCCCATTACTTTTAGGGAAAACATTTACGCGGGGTAGCCAAAGGGTTTTTTTAACGTTGGTATTTAAGGGAGAAGTTTAAATTAATTCAAATGCTGTGGGTTTAAGGGTTGATGCCTAAGTAACACCCGGGGGTTTTGGCGTTTACGGTTTTAAACACCCTAAGTTAAATGGCCCGTGGTTTTTCTACCCGGGGGAAAGTTAATTCCACTCTGCTCGGGGTTTAAAAGGGAGACTTTCCAATTATCACTTTCTGTTTTCGTTTAAGGTGACAGCCCAAGTTTATTTACTGTTTTGTTGTTTAAATGGAAAGGGGCCCCAGTTTTTTTCTGCTGTGGCGTTTAAAGGTAAATTTTGCGTTTACGGGAGATAGCCCAAAATTTTTAAAATTTCTGTGCCCTTTTACGAGAGACAGGCCCAAAATTTTTCAGTCTGGGCCCTTTCCGGGGACAAACCTTTAAATTAAACACGAAATGGGGCCCCTTAATGGAAAATGGAAACCGAAGTTATCGCTGCTGTGGCGTTAAAGGGGCAATTTTTTGGTAAACCTTTTGCTGTAGGGGTTTACAGTAGAGAGCGTTTACGGGAGACAGCCTAAATTATCACTACTGCGGCGTTTACAAGATACAGCTTAATTTCACACTGCTGTGGCGTTTCCGGGAGACAGCTTAATTTATCACTGTTGTGGCGCTTACGGGAGATAACCTAAGTTATCACTGCTGTGCCGTTTACGAGAGACAGCCTAAATTATCACTGCAGTGGCGTTTACGGGAGACAGCCTAAATTATCACTGCTGTGGCGTTTACGGGAGACAGCCTAAGTTATCTCTGCTTCCATTGAAGAGGCTAGATACAATGATTCCCTTTTTTTAAACTAGAGAGTTTAAAGATTCACATTATAAGAAATTCGGTTTTGTTTTGGAGTCCAATCTAGGTCAGTCGGACATCAGCTGCAACTTTATAGCGACATTTCAAGGACAAATTGCATGTGATCATATTGTAAACATGTTTATCAATGTTGTTTACTCACATTTACCTTTGTTCATAATAGCCTTGATATTGTCCAATCAAAAGTTGGCTATATTTACTTCCTTCTTGGCCATGTGATCACGTGGCTGCTCCAATTTTTTTATACAAAATGCTTAACGCTTCAATGTGTGCGAGAAAAACGTCAAACTGTAGAAATATACACGAATAGTTTGTGAAACACAATTACTTTATCGTTATATCTTTACCCTTATTCTAAACGCAAGCTAGTAAAGACTTAAGTTGTAAAACAAGTCGGATATAATATGGACTTCTGGCCATTATCCGCTTGGTGGTTTTATCTTTAAACCATATAATTTTCTTTATTTCGTTTTTCTACTTGAATTGTAATAAATTGCGTATTAAACTTATATCTTGTTCGGTCTGTATAGGTTCTCTTGGCAAGGGTTTTTGTAATAGCCTGTATATCACAATTTTGATATCGTTGGACAACATTTCACAACCTTTATATCCTTGGATAACAATTCACAATATGTGTATCTTTCACAATCTTTATATCTTTGGAAACCGCCTCCGTGGTCAAGTGGTTAGAGTCGATGACTTCTAATCCAGTTACCTCTCTGGCGTGGGTTCGATCCCCGGGAGATGCTTTGGTAGTTTAGCGCGGAGGAAGGTAGTCAAGTACTGGTGTAACTCTCCAGGAACGATGGTTAGGAAACTACCCGCCTATATGACTGAAATACTGTTGGAAAAAGGCGTAAAATGACACAAACAAACAAACAAATATCTTTGGATATATTTAAGATGTCGCTTCTGTTCCCCCACTCAACAATTAAAAAAATTAACTTAAATAAAGAAGAAAAATCATGCACTATAAAATGGTCTGCAATCTATATTTATCACAAAGATAATCAAATCATGTTTTACTATCACACGGTATGTGTTCTCCATCGTAAATTGGGTTATAATCAGATGTCCACACAAAAACAGACTTTGATTGATTATGTGTGGCATGCCATACGTGTTTATTAGCAAGGATAATTTATGATATACTAATAACTTTAATACGCTTCATATACTGTATATTTGGAAAAAATAGATGACTCAAAGTTTAACATCAGTGGCCGTTTTATAAGAACTAAATGATAAGCGCTTTAAACTGTCCAGCATTAGAGAACGAAAGCCAATTCTAACATGTCACTGTGAGGGACTCTTGTTTTATTATGGGTTATGTTTTTAATATGTAAACCGAGCTTGCACTTGTAATATTAAATACAGACGCGTGTTGCTAGATCTATACGTGATGTCAGAGGGGAGACAATTGACATGTGCATGACAGTATTATATAGCATCATGATTATACATTTCTCTAAACAATCCAATTCTCGTTTGTGCAAACAATACGGACAATAAGTTTAATTGAATATTAAAAGAATAAAACCATATCTGTTTTTTTATATCGAAAATGATAAACGCACCTGCACAGTAGGTAATCAAATGTCATGATAAACCAATGTTTAGGATAAAGTTTAAATATTGAACTGTTTGTAAATATTCATCTGATTAAGTCAACCCAGGTTATTGTCTTTCGGTCGTGGTTACCATGTGTGACATTGTTTACTGTCCAAAAAATATCAAAAATAAACAAGAAAAGAAACAAGATTTTGCTACGCGGGTTTACGGTTCCTCTCACTTACAACTATTGTTCATGCACAGCTTAGTATTAAACTAAGTCAAACAAATCTATGACTTTTATCCAATAATACTCGTTTCTAGGGACATTTTGGTTCCATTTTTACTTGAATATTGTTCGTGTGTCATGCTTTTAACATCGTTTTGTCTTGATAATTAGTACTTGCATTTTACAACATACGGTGTAAAGCTGTACAAAGTGATACACAAAGGGCATTATATCTAAGTGTGATGCTTAAAATACAAAATGTCACTTTACAATCTTAACCCGCTAAATATGTAGTGAATTTTTTAGAACAGCCCGTTATCAATTTTAGGGAAATCAACATTGGCATTTGAAGGAAATTGGACAGCCAACGAAACGAAAACGTCTAGTTAAAATTGCGCGTATATGCTTGATGGCCTGGCTTTAAACTGTTGATACATTATTATCATAATTTCGTCCAGCAGTCAAATAAAGGATACGAATTGCTTATCTGGGCTAATATATCATTTCGTGCAATTGGGTAAATGTTTCTATTATCAAATTTTCCGTTTAAAGTTGCGCATGTATTATATATGTATATAAAGATTATAGATACCCAGCCCGATAAGATATATAAACTTTTTTCCATACATGTATTTATCCCTCCCGATGTTGATATTACATACTTAGTTTAAAATGATACTACATTACTAGTATCAATGTGTGTCCTGAATTCGTCCATGTCCTAGAGTCAACACCATTTCGGTTCATGTCACAATGACTTTTCAAAATTTGAGATGTTCGGTCAGAAAGAAAACAATTGGATATTTGAAAGATAAAAGTAAATTTAATATATCTGCCACAAGTTTTTAACATAGATCGCTTAGATTAAAAAATATACAAGTATAAATATTCACTTGAAAATGAAGGGTAACGAATCATAGCCACCTGTGTATATATTCATACCTAGATGTTTAACCCATTTTCATGGATTTTAGAAATGCACTTCACCAGAGGCATACTTTTTCTTTTCTTTCTGTCATATTGTATATGTATTTAAATAAATAATAATTACCACTGACAATTTTCTCTACCTATGCTTTTTCTAAGTCTTTATTTTCAGTTTGTTTTAGATAAAAACATACTAGTACAAACAGAATAGAAACAGTTTGAATTATCTTATTATTCAGTTTTGCTGTGTACTTTTTAATACATTTTCAAGACACCTTTGTAACCAAACAAAACATAGCTCGTACGAATCGACTATATCAAATAAAGGTAAAAATCGTTCTGTTAGTTTGTCTTGCTGTTTAAACAGTTCATATTTCGCAGCATGAACACGTTTGTGAAACAGACTTTCCTTTAAGTCTATTATGCCATTTGTTATATACGACACGTCCGTGCAAGAAGTATCTGTGACATCTGGCAGTTTTGAAAATTGCTGTCTATATATATCCTCTTCTTCTTTTAATAATAGTGCAATGTTTTTACTTAACGGTAGAGATAACGCTGCCTGTAATGCCCTCTTCGGTAATCTCTTTTCCAACAGTTCTCTTTTAACAGTTTTAGCATATTCTGTTATTATTGGCAATGCGAGTGTGAACGAAATTGACTTTTCTTGGCTTAAACATTTGGCGTCAGATATGAGAACTTTCTCAAACCTTTCGTAGTCATGACTATCCAACATGAAGCTGTCAATAAAAAATACTTCATTTTCACCTTTTAATGCAGCCTTGTATGAAGATTTCAATTTAGTTTTAAGCAATTTAGTTTCAGATTGAGAACAGTTTTGCATTCCAAGATTTTCTAAATCACAATCAAATTTGGTGCGAACAAGATAATAAACTTTACCTTGCTGTGCAATTGTGTTTATAAGCTGCACATCTTTCTCAGTTAGGCGTGTTGATAGAATTATTATTACTATATCCATTATTTCAAAGTCTTTCGAAGCATAGTACTTTTTTGGTTGTATCTGCCTTGCATCAAAACCAGGGAAATCCCAAAGTACAACATTTGTATTGCGTTGTAAGGGATATGCAGTTACATTAGATGTGGTTTCAATCACTCCAGTTTTGGCAGCAGAGGAGTCTTCTAGCTTAAACTCGCACATACTGTTTATAAAAGTCGATTTTCCAACTCCGGAGCAGCCAATCACTGCAATATTAATGGTTTCAGCTTTCCATGCATACAACTCTCTGTTTAACTCAGCAGCTGTTTCTGATATTCCGTTTCTTTGAAATACATCCATGCATAAATCTATATTGGAGCTGCAGAGCATTTTCGGCGACTGTTGGCGACTGACAACCTTTAGAATGGAACGAAATTGCAAAATTTTACCTGTATTATAATTGGATTAAAACGATAAAATTTAAATACAGTACTACATGTATAAGCTAAGGTAGGGGGCGTCCGTGACCGAATGGTTCAGGTTGATGACTTCAAACTACTTGTCCCTTCCATCTGTTGGTTCGACTCCCATAAGGATTATTTCAAGAGAGGAAGCTATCAAGCAACGTTGGCACATGAAGGGGCACCTGATTTCCCCCTCCCCAGTATAGCTGGAAAGCCGCTATGTGTTTTCTACTGTGCTGGTGCAAGGGTAAACCCAAATAAAAAATATATTTAGAGTATCTGAGTTGTAATATTATTGTATACAAGAGGGCCTTGATGGTCCTAATATCGCTCACTAAAAATAAATATTCTCCATGACAAGGAACAAGTTATATCGTAAACTGAATTGATACAGATATAAAATCTGAATCTTAAACTGATATCATAAAGTTCTTTATTGTATCTGAAATAGTGCATGTGTAAAACTTTATTTGTTGCTATTGCTAAGGAAATCCATAAGATGTCACTGTTTGCTATACAAAATAAACTACATGTATAATAAAAACATTGAAATTCAATAGTAGATTCATTACTATAGAAAGTTAATGTTTGCTGAGTGCTAAATATCTAAGCTCTAGCTCTTTGGGATTTTTTAAAAGAAGAAATTTTTGTTTGTTGTTACTATATACATATAAAGAAAATAAATGGGTAAAGTTTAGATGAAATTGGCTTAGTGGTTATAATGTGATGTCGTTTAAAGTAAATGTTTATGAGGTTATTCTTTTTGCTATGTACATTTAAAGGAAAATCTTGAACCCCTGGGGCGGGGCAGTTTTGATCCTATGGCTTTTATTTGAGCAAACTTGGTTGACACATTCGTGCTAAATATGTAAGCTCTACTTTTTAGTTTGCTTTTTAAAGACGATATTTTAAAGTTTTTCTTTCCGTTGCCATGGCAACCATAGGCCTGCAAGGAATTCAAATTTTTGAACAATTTTCAAAGGTGACCCTCCAAAGAACATTCTTGTGAATATGTTTGTATTTGTCATATTTACTTGGAAATGTTATTATGGTATTTTTTTATTTTACTTAATCATACCAATTTATCATCTTCTTCTTTTACAGATCCTATGTCATCACATCTTTCAATGCTTGACAGGAAGTACTTATTTGGTTCATAAACAAACTTCTTGACTTTGCACCGCGATTCAATACTAGCAATGGCTTTTTCAAACATTGCTATATCATTTCCTGACCTCTTCATTGTTATAAAAAGTTTGCTCCGCTGACCAGTCGCGCTCATTATTTCAATTTTCCGTCGTAAAGACTCACATTTAGAAAAATGTATTCTGTATTCTTTTAATAAATCATCTATCTGATGTTTGTTATTTGTCCTTAGATGATCAAGCTTCCTTACAATTTCATTTTTAAAACATTCGAATCTTTCACACATTTCTTCATTTTGAGCTTTTATGCATGCTTTTGCATTTTCAAAATTATTATCAATGTCATTTTGCTTACTTGCTAGCATTATATCTGTGAGTTCTCTTAGTTTGTTTTCATTCCTTTCAAGCTTAGAAATGAATGATTTGAAATCCGGACTGTTTTCAATATGTGCTACTATTGATGGTACATGCATAACGTCTAGACAATGTTTGTGCAGGACATTCTTACACACAAAGCATGCAAAATCTTCACAGTTTTCACAATAGAATTTAAGAACTTCCGTGGAATGCGTTTCACATGTATCAAGACAAAAGTCCAGTGGCATCGATAATTGATCCTTATACACATGATTTGGAAGAAATCTGTCATGAAACCTTTGACACTTTTCACAAAAATATTCCACACAATCCACACAAAAACCATGAGCTGTTGAATATATGTTGTCTTTTTTGCATGATTCACAAAACATTTCAAATATACTGTCAGAAGTATTTGCAATCGTATCATCAACAGAAGAAGTCGCCATTTTACATGTACTAGTATTAACTGTGCACGTACGTACATTTCATGAAATGAACTTCCGGGGCTTTATCTACGCTTTAAATGATTATATTCTAAAAACATTATATACCCAATATACATACAAAGAGAGAAAAACAGTTAAGAATGTTTTTAGTATGAGTAAATATAATATATTCTTTGTGCTTTTGTTAATGACCTCTAGGCTAGAAGACTATGATTGATATTTGTATTATGAATAATCAAAGTCATTATACGCCTGGTTAAACCCTCATTTTCGGTTTATACATTGCAAATCGTACTTAATTTCAACTCGGTCAAATTTCATCAAGATAAACTACTTTAACTTGACGGAAGACACGCTACGATCACGCTATTCAATCATGTATAGTGGCTGCGTGTCAATGTAAAATGGAGTACTAGCACAACATTTATGCAATGGTTGTAGTGTATTTGGTTCATTTCTAATTGCCATTTCAACTTCTTTGCTTTGAAAAAAAAATGTTTTTCGGGCATCGAAAAAAAGAAGAAGATTGTTTGTATAGAAAAAACGACTGATTTGTCAGTTAGTCAAAATACTTATTTGATAATTTCTTGGTCAGTTATGCCTTTGCAGTACTAATTATCTTAGAAGATGTTGTATACTACTATTGCTTTAGTGGGGAGAATATAGGTATTTCATTGGTCAGTCATTGATGCCATTTAATGTAAAAAAAAGAATTGTTAGAACATTCAAAAATTCTGACTCATCATGATATATTGTTAAATTTCAAAATCATTGTTTGTTGGCCTATCATATTGCAGTATTTAAAATGGATTTTCACAAATGTGCTTTAGCTATTAATCAGTTAGCAAATATCGACTGGTTAACGCAGTGGAGCTCTTGACAAACTTAATTTTGTAAATGCTTACGAATAAACACTAAACTATATATATAAAAGCACGTGTTTTCAGAATTACTTCAACGAATCAGCTGACTGCTCAAATATCAGTTATGCTTAAGTCATTTGGAATATCTCAGATTTGAGATAAAATTTATCATTTTATTTGTGTCATAGTTTTCATGTCCAGTTTATCAACATAAAAGGAGTCAATGTCTAATATATCTACATCACATTAGATAGCAAAACATGTTTATTTTTGGAAAGTAGTTAGTGTCGTATGACATTGATATGTCAACTGTCATCAAAGTTGTGCTTCAACCACTTGAGGCCACCTTTTTTTTAAATATCTAACAGTAACTGAGTCCATAGTTCAGATTTTAGTTAAGTAGGTTGCGCTTATCGAAATGGGTACACGTTTACGGTGTCTACGCGTGCCAGGAAACTTGTACGTTAATCCACATTTGATGTCATTATCTGCATGCCTGTCTGCATGGTGTTATCTCAATATTTATCTCATTTTTTGATACATATTCCCATCATCAATTTCTTTAATAACATTGTATGATTTGTTTTAAAATGACCTCTCTTTGGTGCCAAAACATATCTACTCTGTAATTTCTAATTTAAAAGGCAAACAATAATATATATAAATCTGACCCCTCCATCCATTAGATTCATTAGATGTACTTAAGCACAATGGAAACATAACGAATCTATCTGAAAAAAAATCAAAATGCTTTAGTACACATATACTGTGTACTAAATACCTGAATAGGAAAAGCTAGGCCGTCTTTGTACAACAAAATAATCTGATTTTTATAGACAAATGACCTGCACGGAATGTAAAAATGATCTTGAAGTTGTACTTTAAATGATGCATGTACTAATATTTTGATTTTTTGTCAGTTTCTTTAACTGAACATGCATTTGTTTAGGAAAAAAGAAAGAAAGAAAAAGAATGTAAAAAACGCTGTTTGTAACTTTCAAAAATTCACACAAAGCTGGTCTTACGGGTAATATTCTGGATTTGATTTTAATTGCAATCAGATATTTATGTATGCAAATATGGTAAATTTTCTATAAATAGGTACACAAATAAACGCCAACGAAACATTTTGGATACAAAAGGAAGAAATTGTGTTCCAACAAAAGAAACAACAAAAGTCATGGATAGACCGGTTCTTATTGCAAATGTTCTGAAACATTATTTTTTTATAGACAGTTTATATAATATAATCATCATTTTCTATATATGTAATCTATACTGTCTAGTGCATTACAAAAGATAAAATTACTACTACCAAATACCAAAATCTCGAAAAAGGAGAGACCCATCATTGCAAATGATCTACGAAAATGCAGCCTCGGTTAGTCTGACAATGTTAAAATACAACATCTCTCTTGCTATAGTCCGTGCAGGCCGTATGCCATGCTTTTCCCAGGAAAATGTCAAATCATTTACTCGTTTACCTGCCTGCAATGTCTAACAATTCTATTAACAATTAGTATATAAAACTCAATATTCGCCAAAACGCAAATAATTATTTTCGGTGGCATGTCCCAGATCCAACTAAAATATAGCCTACACATGCGTGTAGATCAGGCTACGCTAGAAAATATACAAGTAATGGTACTTGAATGCTTTAATAACGCGGTGACCAGTAAAAGTGTTGCTGTCAGACGCTTAACACATGGTGAATGATATGGGTAAATACAGTAGCTCAGTAATTCGATTCTATTTGAACTATTTACTGTATGCTGATTCGGATAATATTAAGTTTCCTGCATGTTTAAAGATAAAAGTAGACACAAGATTCATGTTATATACTTAGCCGGTGAAAAGCTAGTTTAATTTTTAAGTCAATTTTCAAAACATAACGTACGTCTGGATATTTATTTTATAGTATCCGCTTAAAATCATTTATTAGAAGAAAATTCAAGCACCCCATAACCAAATGCCAGAGTTACTGTCTGGTGGTTAATACCTTTAAGACCAATGACCTTTAGACGCTTAATTGCAACTTAGCTAATTCATGCACCTCAAAACAGTATGGCAAGTCCAAGGTTTCAATCAAAACAATGGAGAAAACTCTTTTTATATAGAATCCCTAATACCGTACTTTAAGGCAAAGTAACAGTCCTGAGAATTTAGTTAGTACGTGTTAATCTCTCACGTACATAAAGACAAATGTATACACATATTTGCCATTTAAACAACTTATTTTAAACAAAAATAAGAGTATTTGAAGAATGTGAGCGCTAGTTCGTAGGTTCAATATTACAATATATTCAATCTATTTGTCTAGATGCAGAGGGGCGTCCGTGGCCGATTGGTTCAGGTATTTGACTTCAAACCACCTGTCCCTTATATCTGTGAGTTCGAATCCATCATATGTAATATCATAATTGACTTACCTATAGTATAAATTCATACAAAAAAAGATACACTTGAATTACATACAGCGAAATCTCTGCAGTGAATTGATTACAGACATGAAATAATACATTTGCTGTTGTTTAAAGATTATTGATACCCGGCCCGATAAGATATATAAACATTTTGCCATACATGTATTTATCCTTCCCGATGTTGATATTACCTACTTAATATAAAATGATACTACATTACTGGTATCATTGTGTGTCCTGAATTCGTCCATGTCCTAGAGTCATTTCAGTTTATTACCTTTCAAAATTGAGATGTTCGGTCAGAAAGAAAACAACTGGATATTTGAAAGATAAAAGTGAATTTAATATATCTGCCACACTTTTTTTAACATAGATCGCTTAGATTTTAAAAAAATATACAAGTAAAAATAAACACTTAAAAATGAAGGGTAACGAATCATAGTCACCTGTGGATATATTCATACCTAGAGGTTTAACCCATTTTCATGGATTTTAGAAATGCACTCCACCAGAGGCATACTTTTTCTTTCTGTCATATTGTACATGTATTGAAATGAATAATAATTACCACTGACAATTTTCTCTACCTATGCTTTTTCTAAGTCTTTATTTTCATTTTGTTCTAAATAGAAACATACTAGTACAAACAAAATAGAAACATTTTGAATTATCTTATTATTCGGTTTTGCTGTGTACTTTTCAATACATTTTCAAGACACCTTTGTAACCAAACAAAACATAGCTCGCACGACTCGACTATATCAAATAAAGGTAAAAGTCATTCAGTTAGTTTGTCTTGGTCTTTTAAACAGTTCATATTTCGCAGCATGAACAAGTTTGTGAAACAGACTTCCCTTTAAGTCTATTATGCCATTTGTTATATACGACACGTCCGTGCGAGAGGTATGTGTGACATCTGTCAGCTTGGAAAATTGCTGTCTATATATATCCTCTTCTTCTTCTTTTAATGATAATGCAATGTTTTTACTTAACGGTAGAGATAACGCTGCCTGTAATGCCTTCTTCGGTAATCTCTTTTTCCAACAGTTCTCTTTTAACAGTTTTAGCATATTCTGTTATTATTGGCAATGCGAGTGTGAAAGGAATCGACCTTTCTTCACTTAAACATTTGGCGTCAGATATGAGTACTTGCTCAAACCTTTCGTAGTCATGACTATCCAACATGAAGCTGTCAATAAAAAACACTTCATTTTCACCTTTTAATGCAGCCTTGCATGAAGATTTCAATTTAGTTTTAAGCAATTTAGTTTCAGATTCAGAACAGTTCTGCCTTCGAAGATTTTTTTAAATCACTATTAAATTTGGTGCGAACAAGATAATAAACTTTGGGTTGCTGTGCAATTGTGTTTATAAGTTGCACATCTTTTTCAGTAAGGCGCCTTGATGTAATAATTATTACCATATCCATTTTTTTCAAAGTCATTCGAAGCAAAGTACTTTTCTGGTTGTATCTGCCTGGCATCAAAACCAGGTAAATACCAAAGTACAACATTTGTATTTCGTTGTAATGGATATGGACTTACAATCGGTTTAGTTTCAATCACTCCAGTTTTGTCAGCATATGAGTCTCCTGGCTTTAACTCGCACATACTGTTTATAAAAGTCGATTTTCCAACTCCGGAGCAGCCAATCACTGTAATATTATACATTCAGCTTTCCATGCATATAACTCTCTGTTTAACTCAGCACCCGTTTCTGATATTCCATTTCTTTGAAATACATTCATGCATAAATCTATATTAGAGCTGCAGAGCATTTTCGGCGACTGTTGGCGACTGACAACCTTTAGAATGGAACGAAATTGCAAACATTTACCTGTATTATAATTGGATTAAAACGATGAAATTTAAATACAGTACTACATGAATAAGCCAAGATAGGGGGCGTCCGTATGGTTCAGATTGTTGACTTCAAACTACTTGCCCCTTCCGTCTGTTGGTTTAACTCCCGCGAGATGACGCTATCCAGCAACTTTAAAGAATGTCGACACAGGAAGGGGCACCTGATTTCCATCTCCCCCATTAAAGCTTGAAAGCCGCCATGTGTTTTCATCTGTGGTTAAACCCAAAGAAATATTTAAGTTATATTATTATATACAAGAGGGCAGTGATGGTCTTAATATCGCTCACTGAAAATAAATATTATCTACGACAAGGAACAAGTAATATCGTAAACTACAAATTAAAGCAGATATAAAATCTGAATCTTAAAATGATATCATAAAGTTCTTTTTTGTATCTGTAATAGTGCACGTGTGAAATTTTATTTGCTGCTATTGCTAAGGGAAAACAAAAGTTCCAACAGATGTCACTGTTTGCTATACAAAATAAACTATATAATAAATACAATGAAATTCAATAATGGATTCATTACTATCGAAAGTTATTGTTTGCTGGTTGCTATGAAAATTTACAGTTTCCTTTGCAAAAGCAAAGGCTGCCATGAAGTAACTTGTTGCTATGGGAACTAAGCTTTAGCCCTTGTTGGGTTAGAGAAGAATTGTTTTAAAGTTTTTACTTTACACATTTAAGGAAAATCTATGATACCCCGGGGCGGGACAATTTTATAATTTGAACAATTTTTGTCCACCGTACAATGTTTCATTCCAAATATCTTAGCTAAAGCCTCTAAAGTATAATAGAAGATTTTTGTTTACTATATACATATAAGAAAAATTAATGAGTCACTGGGACAGGCCAATTTTAACCCCATGACTTCATTTGATCAAACTTGTTAGACACCCACTAGAAAGATGTCTCATGCTTAATATCTAAGCTCTAGTTCTTTTGTTTTAGATGAACATTTTGTTTTTGTTTTAATTATACACAGATAAGTAAAATCAATGACCCCATGGGGAGGGGCCAGTTTTGACCCCAGGGCTTTTGTTTGAATATATTTGGTAGACACCCACTAGAAGATGGTTCATGCTTTAGTTATTTGGCATTTTAGAAGAAGATTTTTTGTTTGTTTTACCTATATACAGATAAGGAAATCAATGAACCCTTTAGGGCGGACTTTATGAATCAAAGTCAATTAATGATTTGTTACTTGTACATTTTCGGTTTATACACTGTACGAACTAATTCGGTCAACATTCAACAAGCTGAACTAGTTTAATTCGATGGAAGACACGCTACGATCACGCTATTATATCATGTAATCGACGCGTGTCAATGCTAAATGGAGTACTAGCACAACATTTATATGCAGTGGATGTAGGCCATTCGGAACATTGCAAATGTTGTAGGTTTTTTTTGCTATACATATCATCAAAATTATTTTTCAGGCATCGAACAGAACATTGTTTTAAAATGAGTATTTCTAAAATATTAGTTAGTCAGAAAGCTCATAACACTTACGCTTGACAAAATAAGTGATTTCTTATTTGGCTCTGCATGACGCTGCATTTGCTGACTGATAAAGGTTGATTACTTCTAATCTCACGTTGGTGGTAATTGATTTTTATTGATGCCATTATAATGAAATATTAAATTCTACTTATCAATTAGAAAATCCGAGGGATGTCCTTGGCCGAGTGGTTAGGGTTTCTGACTTCAATCCACTTACTCCTAACCATTTTGGTTCGAATTCCGCCAAAAAACTCGATTCTTTCATATAAGGTATATAAGGCTTACGGAACGTCGATGGTTAGACTCAGGTGCCTGTTTGTGCAGGAATTAACTCTCCGACTTAGAAAGTCCCTACATGACTTTTACAGAGATGGTGCGACTTTAAACCAACTAACAATTAAAATCCGATTAAAGGGTTGTTTTTTTGTACGGCATTATACGTATAACTACTTACTGATACTCAATGGTTTTATGGAGCGATATAGTGTCATCTTGACCCGTTTATATAATAAGTAAAAAGTTGTAATATTTTCAATAATAAAGAACAATTGTGCATCTTAATGTTATAATTGTGGGAGTTGTTTACCTTTATACCAAGAAATAGATTTATGTTATTGAATTCGAGAAATTTACCGCATTCTGCGTAATCAATACAGTGCTTTAAATCTCTGCATTACTACTAACATTTTTTCCTGTAAGAAGTTATTTCAGCTAGAGTTACGGTATGAAAACGTGCACTCTTTTTCATAGGATGTCTGGAGAGCCGTAACACATGATATGTGAATTAATGTTTTATTTGTTGTTGTTGTTTTTTTTGTTTCTGTGACAAAAAAAAGAAAGGAAAAATGAAAGAAAACAATATACACACAATAATTTGCTTTTTTCCATATTTTATTTCTATATGATACCATCCTTTTATAAATGTTTGTTCACAACTTGTTTGGGTACATTTTGAAACAAATTACTGGCAAGGAGATGCATGCATTTCATGTATAACAGCAGAATGTCATATATCATTTTAACATAGCTTTTTGAACTAATATTCAAGTCATCGAAATTCGGATTATTTTTTTTCTTTAAAATATGTATGCACTTTTGGAACCTTTCAATATGTGATTGAATTAGATTCTGACTTATCCGTTCCAACGTCGTTCCCATTATATCCACACCTAGCCTAGAAAGATTAAGTAGTTCTGGGACGCTTCCTAGGGTTTTGTCGTCAATTTCAAAAACCTCTCTATAGAACTTACTTTCTTGAGCAAAGACATCTTTTATTACATGTTCAGGGTTATAAACAGTGCAATTCAAACCTGCTTGCATGGACACACATAGAATTCTATGCAGAAGTCCGTGGAATTTCTTATCAATGATTTCTTGTGTTGCCGATGAAAGAGCAGAGACAAGAACGTTTGCCTTTGCTCCACCTGCTAACTTGATCAGATCGTCTACAAGTGTGTTGAAGTCAAAATCTGTCAAAATAAAGCTGTCAATCAAATACACACGAATTTGCTCAAAGTTGTGTGGTATCACTGTGAGATTTTCTGTGTCTTCTTTAAGTGTTTTCTCACAGTTGTGGCGGATGACGGATAATTGTTTGTTTGGGTCAGTACATTTTGGATGCGCTTTTTTATAATTTCGAATATCCTGACCAACGTGTGACCGAACGAGGAAATATCCTTTTCCTAGTTGTTGTATTTGATTGGCTAGCCAGACATCGTTTTCGCTGAAGCTGGTTTGGGTTAATAAAATGAAGAAGTCGAAAGTTTCAAGTTTCACTTCATGTACGTATTTATCTCTTGGAAAAGTTGGAGTACCAACACCTGGTAAATCCCAGAAAACGACATTAGAATATAGTTTCGAAGTGTAAGACTTAACGTCCACCGTTGTTTCAGTAATTCCAGTAGGAGCTGCGTGGTTTCCAGCCAAACCTAATACTGAATTTATGAATGTTGATTTTCCGGCACCGGACGCTCCTGTAACTGCTATATCGATTTTAGTATTTTTCCAGCATTTCAAACTTTCATCTAATTCACTTTGTAATCCTGTCAGGCCTTTCTTTTCAAGTGTACTTTTGAATGTTCTAGTGATGTTCTCTACGCCTGATAAATCAGCCATAGACGATGATGCCATCCTACAACAATTCAAATAATTCTCGATTAGGTACAATAATGATATCATTCATTGAGGAAAATTTAATTAGAAGCAAAACCGAGACACTCTTTTAGTTTCTATAGCTAAATAACCTATTGGAGTACCAACACCTGGTAAATCCCAGAATACGACATTATCATTATCTTTAAGTTATTTCATACGCATCGCGAAGAAAGAAACATATCTTTAACTTAAATGTCCTTATTTTCATTTCGATTTATCATTCATTACTAGTATATTTTTTCAGTAAATAAAAAATACTTACTTTCTTTCTTACTTCCTACCTCGACGTCTGAGAGAATAATTTCGTATGTTTTGTAAACTTTGTAATTTTCACACGCATGCGCAACACTGTACGATAAATGTACTTACCGCTTTTTGCCGGCTATTTTCGTCCAAGTACAAAGTTTAACCTAGATCGCTATGACAATGTATGAAAATTTTAGTTGTAAACAGGACACTCGCAAAACAAACTCCTACGCAGTGGTCGCCATGGTCACCACTACCTTCGCTACAATGATAGCTATTATAATGACATTTATTTAATTAAAACTTTGATAAAATGTAATACAGACCAATTATTTTAGATGTTCTTATCTTATTGAATATATATTTAGATAATAACTTTTCTTTAATAAATAACTTAAATTGGATAAAGAAATTAAAAAAATAGACATCATTACGGTATTTTAAATGATATACGCAACAGATTGTTACTCTGAGTAAAGTGAAAGTTGGATGAAATAACGTTTGTTTCTGTCAAAAAATATCGGCTAAAACATTTTTTATCTTTGGCGTAGTTTTTGTAGCCGCCATTTTAACGTCACGTGTCGTATGTCGAAGTTTGTTAAGACACTGATTTAAGCAAAGCCAATTAAACCACTTTGAGGAGTGCAAAAGTCGGTTAATGGTAATGTAAATATATGAAATATAAAGCAGATAATAATTCTAAACGAAACTTAAAAATAACTAACTGTATGTCAATGTGGTTGATATTAATACTGAATGACAACTCTTTCAATTTTGTGTGTAAGAAATACTACATATTCAATAGCTGTCTTATTATGTTACTATATATGCATAACTTGCACGTCCTAGATTTCTATTTATCGAAGTCACGTGGTAGAACTACATTTTTCTAACTTTATATTGCTGAATAATAGCGAATAGTACGTGTGTTTGGGATATTGTGAGATTTGAATATTGGTTTGGAAAAGGTATGTGCATTTATTGATTTTGTCTTTTATTGTTCCAAATTGTTTTAGTTTGATAATATTATTATTGCATCAATAAATATACATAATGTACATCAATTCTTTTACATTAACATTAACATAATTGTACGATATACACAAAGGTTGGGCCAAACGTTTTTGTAACATTATTGTGGACTCTCCCCTGTAAATGTTTACATCAGTTTCATAAAGTAAAGATATGTTTATATTAAAGTAATTATGCATTAATTAAGTGATTATCATTTTCGTTTTATAAGATGAGCAAACAGTAATATTTTAATGTGACTTTAAACAAATGTTTACTTCATTTGCCAAATGTCCGTAAATCAACAAAATCCCTTATGTATGTACAGATCTGAGTGAGCTAATTAGTAGGTCTTTTGCGTAGGACGTAATTAAAAATACAATGTAGTCTGAAATCTTATCTTTGACCTCCATTTCGCACTTGTTTCTGTTTATTTTGGTTAACAGGATAACTATCTATCAGTCTAGTAAATCAATTGTTTATGACTAATAATTTCCACTTTTCCAGCATCGAATTGGCTTTGTCGCTCTTGACCATTTAAATATTTTACAGGCTTATCAATAAACGCTTACCTACACTTAAATCGAGAAATATCATTCATATTTGTATCAACAAAACGACCCGCATTCAAAGTTATAAGACATTTTTGTCGCTTACATTTTGAGTCATTTATAAGAATCAAAATAGTAAAAATTTGTTGAAATGCTACAACTCATTTCAAACTACATGTATATGAAAATAGTTTCACTTTACAAGCAGAACTATTGGCGCATTCATAGGGTCAAGCGTATTGATATTTACTAATTTCAATTATCAATTCTTTGTTGAAACCATTCTTCTTTTCTTTGACAGTTTCGGGTACAAATAAACATTGTACTATGGAAACATGTATAGCTGTATACAATAATTTGTTTCATTATCTTTCCGGGACTTATACTTAAGATAAATGATGTGTATTAACTTGCTGCTGGTAAATCGGCGCATTCCAACAGTCATTAGATATTAGATAATTTTTGAAACTTTAAGTGTAATAAAAATAAAAGAAAGCGATACATTGCCCGTTTTCGAATCATTTTGAAAAATAAATGTCACGTCTAGGAACCTAACTTATTGATCTTTTGAATGCACACTATTTTTTAACGTTCAATACTAATCCATAAGAGGGATTATAACGATTCCAATTTTTGCAACATTTAATTTTCTTCTTCCTGATTTTTAGAGATGGATGCCAAAAATAGAGAATGGATAAGATTAATTGAAAGGAAGACGGAACATTTGCGATCTGCATTTATAGAGAAAGGTATGACAGGCCTCTGTAAGACAATACAGAATGAGCTAGACAGCTGGAAAAATGAAACAATAAATATTGGAGTTCTTGGTGAGGCTGAAGCTGGAAAATCAACTTATATAAATGCTTTACGAAATTTGGATGCAGATGAGCCAGGTGGAGCCCCCGTCGGAAATACAAATATGACATCAAAGATACGTTCTTACGATCACCCAAATAATAAAAACGTTCACATTTGGGATTTTCCTGGTGTTGGGTCCACAAATAATCCCAAAGATGGATATCTGGAAAAGATTGAATTTGCGAAATTCGACTTCTTCATAATAATGACATCGAAGAGGTTTTCCGAAAATGATATATGGCTTGCTAGAGAAATAAAAAAGAAAAGAAAGAAATTCTATTTTGTTCGAACACAGTTTGAAGATGATGTAGAAAATGAGATGGAAAAAAAAGAAAACAAAGAAATACAAAAGAAAGATCTAGAGAGCATATTAAAACAAAAAGTTTATGAGGATTGTAAAAGGAATCTTGAAGAATTTAAATGTGAAGATAACATATTTGTTATTGACAGTTATGTAAAAAGTTCGTATGATTTTGAAAAACTGGAGACGCATCTCATTCACGATGCTTTTAATATAAGTGACGGAAAGCATTTGGCGATCACATCATGTTTGACGGTGATGACTTTACCATCACTAAAAGAAAAGAAACTTGTTTTGGAAAAAAGAATCCCCAAAATCGCTTTACGTGCAGCATTTGCGCTTCGTGTTAAAGATACAGATATAATGATTCTGAAGGAAGAAATGGAATTCTACAAACAACAGTTCAATCTAAATGAAAGATCCCTTCGAAGAGATGCCGAGGTTTCAAACATTATGGAACGCTTGTCGAAAATAGAAGAAAGTGTGCAGCATATTGAAAAAGAATCAAATGAAATGGAAGAATTGAATGAAATTGACAAGCTCATGCCGTTTTTACCGGTCATAAATATAAGAAAAACTTATAAGGCAAGTAAAACATTGTTACAAAAGGCACTTGAAAGAATTTATGAAAAGGCAGTTGATGTCAATCTAACTATGATGGAAGGACTGACACACGATTGATACATCATTTTCTTTTAAAAGTATGTTTAAATATTTATGCGAGTGCAATCAAATCGATTCGGTTATCAGCACATTGTTTTGTTCAATTTCATAGAGAGTCGTACAAATCGAGCATGCCAGTTATAAATAATTCAAAAAACAAAAATAGATTACCCCAAAACGCAAAATAGAAAATGTTACAGGGTTTGTTTACTTGAGCCTGTTCGTGGATAACACTGGAAAGTGCAATCTACCGCTCCATCACCAATATTGGACATCGTTGTCCAGAGAAAAACGATTTTTCTTCTGAGTATATTGTATTCAAGTTTTCCGTTTTCTTTATACTACCATGTTTCTGTTTTAAAATGTTATACATCATCTGAAAATGTTAATTTGTTCTTGTTTCACAATTGTGCACATTTTATAACGTATTTAATACACTGTAAGCAAAATGACTTCAAAATAGCTGAAAATTAAATTGAGCAAGATTCCTTGCAACAAAACTACACCTAAAAGCAACAGTAGAAAGTTCAGCTATATCTTATTAATGATTTACAATTCACTGTAACGCGATTGAAGCTGGGTTTTTTTTTTGCTGAATAAGATCATACAGGAATTCTAATGAAAGTCCATTTATACGAGTGTTTGAAATATATTTAAAGTTACATTTAATAAATTTCATAAAAAACTAAATAGCGACATTTCATTAATAAATTGGGTTTTATATCGACTCCAGGTCTTATTTTGGTGTCCAAACAACCAAAATTAGTTTTATTAGCATAAAAATAGGTAACCTCATTGTGGTGAAATGGGAAGTACAATTTCTGTTTGCATGAGAAACTCTGACTTCGGATCATCCGTACATCAATATTAAATCAACAAACATGACTATAAGTGGCAGTCCTAATTTAACGGTATATTTCCGCATTGTAACGGATGTTTTCATACAAATTTAATCTTTTTACGAGATGATTACTTTTACTAAACCCCAGGTTTAGTGCACCGTGAAGCTTAAACGGTTAAAGTGTGTTTGCACAAATAAATATCACATTTGCTGTGTTCCGGATAGCAACTATAAAATTGTGACGTAGCGCATACACGAGCTCATTATAGTCTTCATTTGCATGTTAAAATTCGTATAAGAACTTTAGTGTTACCGTGGGGTTTCCCGTTTAAAATCCTAATTTATGAACAATATTTGATGAGATTTACAACAAAACTATTAAACAGGTTAATGAAACTGTAGAATGTTTGATTTTTAGGCCGACGGCAAAATATTTTTACATATTTATTTAATGTAACTTTAAGTATCAGGATTTAGCATATTTTATAAGCGATCGTAGAAACAAGTGACAGAAATCCCCCCATGTGAGCAACATGAAATACAAAGAAGGAATGATTCAGTTTCCATCTGTATTTACAATTTCATTGATAGACCTTTTGGCGTTGGGCGTATTTCAATCTGTTGTGTTTGAGAGCTACAATCGTTGGTTTATCAACATCTAATGGGTGTATTAGTGTTAAGTACAAAGTACGTGCAGTATCTTATTTATTACATAAACAATTTCAAGGACAACAAATATGCAAATGTACCACATAAAAACGTATTCTTGTCGTATAAATGTAAACAGATGTAGTTATATCACGTAGGCGCGGGTTATATTTCTTTACATTCTCAATTGAAGTCCTTGAAGTTTCCCGTGACATGTTCTAGTTTTTTATAACTAAGCTTTAACATAATATCTAAAATTTATATCCGGATATACCGTTTTATAAGAAGCAATAAATATCGCCGAGATAAAATTGTTGTTTGGTTGGCTGATATCCATCTGATATCAAGCTAAGACTGTTGAAAGAGAAATTAAAATATACTTAATCCTAGATCAAAAACCAAGCTTTGCCACCTTCTTTGCAACTACATGTAATTACAATTCCTTAAGATAGACTGCCGAGGGTCCGATATCTGTCTGTCTATACAGATAATGTATATCTTTTTACTGTTGATTTTTGTTAAGCATATACTTGTGATTGCCACATGCAAAATCTCGTCTTTTTTTGTATGTAAGAAATAAAAGTAGTTTATTTTTGAATGAAACCTAAACTTAATGAAGCATTCAGGAGACATTTCGCATGATAAGATCGGTATGGATGTAGGCGATAAGATTGCAAGTGAATGTTATATAAAGATTATGTTAAAAATAATGATATGAAAGTTTGAATTAAATAAAGTATCTAAAATACAATAAAAGATCGGCAAATGACACATATACACGACATTATGCCATTTGAAACGGCCAATTAAAATAATAAATTAATAACAAAAATACATATAAATCCCTAAGTATTAGGGTTAGTATACTTGGGTACATATTTCCGTAAAACGGATCATTTTCATAGCGTAAAAAATAGATAAAATGAAAACCGTAAAGAACTTCCAACACGGGCAACATTGAAAAATGTTGCATACTCGGTTTGACCGAGCCTGCACATGAACTGTTGTAATACTTGCAAGCTGCTGGTTTACTTTACCTTGCGCCTGCTGAAGAAAAATGTTCTTTATACACTCGCATATATGTTCATAAGGTGGTGATCATGAACCCTTCAATGAGGCCGTTCGTGTCATTCCATGAAAAGCGGCGTCTGAACCTATTGTAAATATGTGTTTGTACCCTAAAAGAAAATACAAGTAATAGAACTTGACAGGGGATCGGAGGTTATGAAACCTCCAGATTTTTTCACAAAAGAGCTTACCATTTATCTTTAGTTTTTGACTTATGATAATAGTACGTCGACATTTTCACAAAGCCACAGTAAGTTAAAAGTTTATCTTCACAAGATAAAAATTCATTTAAGATAAATCTTACGATGAAAAACTTCCGTAGCAACGTTCCTTAGATATTGATGAGCAAGTACTATAATTGTTAACTTGATAAATGTATTGAAGACTTAAACTTTAAAAATACAATTAGAAGAAACAAATTATTCAAACTGATAGATTTTCTATCTTGGATGTAAATTATTATATGGTTTAAATGATTCAGAAACAAAGTCTAATACGTTATTGCCAAGGTATAGAAGAATAAAAAAAAATGCAGATTGTACATACTGGCAGTAAAATCAAACACATGACATGGCACAAAACATAAGTTATCAAAATTTCTACGCAGCCACCAGGGGCGTACCTCGGGCTTATTTTGAGTATACGCAGAGTCCAGGTCTTAAGCCGAAGGGCCGCTACAGACGTATATCAAATATAGCTCTGTACTATAACCAGGGATTTAGGGGATATCTAAGTGATGAATTGTCATTTAATTGTATTTGTCTGTAGTTATGAAAATAACACCAAGTACATGTATTGAATGTAGAGCAATTGCACGACACTGTTTTAAATACTCAGTAGTTCAAAAGTTATTTACTGTTAGAAAAAAAATATAGCCATGAGCCTCTATTGTTATAAAAATGTTCTTTACGACAGAAATTTGCCGTAAGATTTTTTTGTGAAAAGGGCTCCTGTGCTCTGTAGGCCAATCACACAATGCTGCCATAGGACAAATTAAAAAGAAAAACAACAAGCATCATAATTATTTTAAAGATAACTTTTGACAAAAACATGAAAAAGTGGAACTAGTGAATGATTAGTCACTTTGCATGATTGTAGAGAATCATAATTGAAACAGTCTTTTAAATTTAGGGCTATTGTCTTACTTTTTGAGTCATTTGCCCCTGAAAGTGAGCATTTCTTTTAGGCAATGCACACACTTTAATACCGGGAGCATTTGATGAAACATCTTGGCACATTCTGACTAACCTAATATAAGGATGATTTATTTGTGATGGCTTTTGAGACGATTTATTGTATTATATCCGTCAATAATGAAAAAAAAAATATCTTGATAAAAACTGTTGAAGTGACTCCCCTGGTTTTTTGGAAATGACGTGACTGTATAAATTTTATATCGAAATTCAATGTATGTGTATGACAATAACTAATGTGCAGATCATTAGTTAACTGTTTTTTTCCAGAATAAATCTTTTATTTTGCAAAAGGACCTAAAATGGAAAACGTAACTCGAATTGACGAAATAAACGCACTAAATATCTATTACAGAATATTTCTTTATGATCTTGTTCATATTTATGTGCCACTGTTGATCCATGTAAAATTTTGATGTTTCATGTTTTAGACTTATGGATTGCAGCGGAGATCCTTTAAACAAAATTAATTGTTGTGAAATCGCCATGAAAATGTATAGAATTACAAGTGTCAATGGTATAGAAGAAAACATATCGGAGCATAATACCCTCTGAAATATTAGCACATTAGCTAGCGGGTCATGTTGACGTAAAAATGTAAACAGTTATCGATACATCGTTTACTTGTAGATTGTACTTGTTTTCGTAAAAAGGGCTGTTTTGCAAAACATCAAAACAAAAAGCAACGAGACTGTTGATTTAATAATTTAAAAAAAATATGTATAGTAGTTTGTTTAAGACATAAATGATTTAAACAAAATTACTTACATTTTAATTTTTTTTAACCAATCAATTGTCCTTATAAGCATCGAAATAGGAACAACCTAACAAACTTCGAAATAGGAACAAAAAAAAACAAAAAACAATAAAAAAACAACACGAAATTGAAAGTACCTGAAATAATACGTACCGATTTTTTTTATAAATAAAATGTATATTCTTGAATAATTACATTTACTTGATTTTATGTTGCCTTCAAATACGAGTATGTTATGGTGGGTGATTTGTGCCATTCGTGTTTTCGCCACGCGACCCCGCCCAGCGAAAAGTCGATAATTTATAAGTTAAAATGGCAGGGGCGCGCAGCGAAAACACGAATGGCACAAATCAGTCACCATACTAAATAATAAGACACATCCTTATTTGGCGTTGAGTATACACATTTTTACATAAATTTTACGTGCTCAAGTTGAAAATATATTTCTGTCAAATAGGGTACAATTTTCATTAGCCAAACATTCTTTCTGACATTGCACACGGTTAAAATTTCAGGTAAAAGACCGTACAAACAATAACCTTAAGGCCGTAAATCACGAAGTCAAGATGGCGAAACCCAGCCGGTCAAAATACGCCGGCAATGTAAAAATCCGTTACAACCAAACATTCCAGATAACAAATGAGAGATATCACTACACTAATACGGGACTGCATTGATATTTGCATTTTCACAAACAGTAAAGATCCTTGTTAGATGCATCAATTTAGATCTACATCAATGCATCTACAATGTGTTGAAAGGGCGATAAATAGTCGTTTACTTATGAAACATTGAAGGGGAGTTACCTGTTACTTTAGCAAAGTTCGTTTGCAAATGTGGTTTATTTATATGAATTAATGAAAAAGACGTGTCTTTGCTACCTATATTAAGACTTGCAAGCATGTGTGAACATTAAAGTACTGTATATACTTGTGTTAAAATACTTTCATTAACAATAGACAGTTTCATCAAGGCAAGCATAAATTTAGCGTGACTATAAAGGTTGTAGGAAACAAAACACCACATAAAGTATGACTATTCTCGGGTCAACCATCAAACATGACCACCAATAATAGTTTAAAAAGATAAGACAAATCATAGAACAACGCCATGTAGTACTTTTAGTTGTGAAATACTTTGGTACAATACTGGATCAATAATCAAGAAAGTCCGTTAACTTGTTCAAAAACATTTCACAAATCGTATGATCTATTGAAATATAACTGATCAATTCATTCACAAGCTATTCTCGTGATTGGTAACAGTTGTTTTTGTGAACGGGAACTCGTTACAATGTCAATCAAATAAACGTTTATTTTACCTCGTACATTTTCTGAGTCATTTTACAATATAGATAATTTACCGATATGATGTTGTTAAAGCTGTCTTAAATCAAGCACAAACTGTTTGAAACGGCTGTACCCAGTATATTCAGTGGTCTTAAATCAGGAACAAGCTATATGAAATAACTGTACTCAGTGTATCTAGTGGTCTTAAATCTGGAACAAACTGTTTGGATAAAACTTATTATACCTCAAATTTTTCATAATAATTAGCCATAACCATTTATCATAACAAATTGTGATAAGCTAAAAAGCATTTGTTTGGATTGAATACATAACCGTCTCATCAGGTTAAAAAAACAAACAAAAGAAGACAACTAGTCTGTAAATCATTGTATATCATATGTATACAAACGACCGCAAGAACTGCATACAATTGTTACTCCCTTACATTTGAGAGTATAAGGGAGAAAGCACTATGAGGCACCACGCCCAGAAGGAAATATTGGAACAATATTTAATAGCTATACTGGAACAATATGTAGCTTTTTAGAAATGCGTTTATCTTTGCTGTACGGAAAAGAAGCATTAAATTGGATTACCTTATTTTCTTCTTTTCAAAAAATGTCTGAAAGTTTATGTTTAAGCTGTGAGCATATTGAGACAATTTTTACCATAAAGCACATACCAAACATGAAATCACCTTTATTTTGATTAAGTATCAGCAGTAGTATCAAGCAGTAACTTGTACTTGTTTTCATAAGATACCTGGTACAATTCTAGATCAACATTTGAGCAAGTATAGAAGGTTATCCACGTGCTTGGTAGCAACAGCTGATGTAGTTTTGAATATAAATGAAAAACAAGAAAATATATGACTTCAAATTAATATGTTTGAACATATTGTTAAATATTGTAACAGTTGTTTTGAGAAATAATTGTCTCATTAATATGCATTATATTATTTATCATCTGACATTTCAATATCTTTATTTCGACCAATCATTGACAAACACATATAGCAAGTTTGTTACATTGTGAATAATTTGAATCAATATCATCACACATTGTTAAACACAAAGATTTAGGAGGGAAAAATACTCAGAAATTTATTTGGAGAGTTTTCAAGAAATATAACCGATTAACGGTAGGGAGCAATAAGATTGGATATTATTTACATTTAGCTGAAACCTGTAGAATGTGAGTACCTTATTACTGTTTATTTATTTATCTATTTATTTATCAACTTATACTTTTATTCATCTTAGGCACCGACTTACAAAATTTCGAAACTTGCTTATTTTAAAATTCTGAAATTTTGAAAGTTTATTTATTTTTTTTAAAGTGTTTCAATATGTAGCAACTATAGATATGAAACTTCAGTGTCAAACGAAGAACTGCTTTTGGGATTTTACGGAGCAAATGATGAATTCACGCGGGATGAAATGTTAGATTTGTATATTTCAAGAATGACAATCACGTCTGATTTCTATTTAACGCTTAACATTATTTTACATTTCAGTTCTAAACAAAAAGAAAATAGAGAAGAAAAAAGTACATATGAAAACGTTTACAAACTGGCGTTTATTTAAAAAGTTCTGTACATTTACCTTTTTTTTCGATTTGCATGTAAAAAATATAAAAAGTCATACATAGATATGTTTGCCATCACAGAATGCAATCAGATATGTACTTTAGGGGCCAATGGCTCCATCGTCGGACGGTCGAGACAAACTTTCTCAGTGACAATTGTCTCGATCGGCTCTGTAAAATGAATCATTTAAAACAGAATCGGCTGCGTCACATACTATCATTTGGTGATTATATAACATATTTATAATTTTCTAGTCAGAATCATACCTAAAAGATTTGAAACTGATCACTTAAATAATTTCTTCCCAATTTCTATTATCATAATTATAAAATAATATATTCATAAAATATTGATGACCCGAATACGAGCTCCGTTTTTTTCACGCTTTCTATTGACAAACGAACGACCCGGTCGAATGCACGGCATACCTTACATAAAACAAAATATAGAGGATATTTGTTTGTTTGTGTGTATGATGAATTTTATTTCATCGAGTGAGCTTTAAAATCAATATCCTCACTCGTGGCTACGCCACTCGTGAGAATATTGTTTTTAAAGTTCACGAGATAAAATTCCGCCTTACACAACAAACAAACATTTTTTTTATTTTATGCTTAAAAGCATTTTAAAACGAAATGTCCTTGACATTAACTTTAATATTAAAATATGTTTTCCCCACTGGTAGCCTATATTATGTGCATGTCAAAGTCGAATTTCTCATAAAATACAAGAAGTCTTGGGCTGAAAAATAAGCTCGATAATCAACGTTAAATGGCGGTGATATTATTAATTCTTTTAAAAAATATGAATGATCATTTGTTTTAATAATAAAAACAAACAATGGTAGTCGGAGAAAAATCCAACTATCCATCCATATTTCTGTTACTTACTGCGAATTTATATTGGACCTGGCTCTGTTAAATATAAACGGCCGCCATTTTTAAAAGTTGTCAAAATGTTTATTTCACGGGAGGAAAACAATTGTGCTTGATTCAGTGGGATATCATTTGGATTTGTTAGTAAAACACCTTTTAAAAAGAAAAAAAAACTTATTTGAGGATTATAACAGACAATTTTTAAGTGTTGACAGATGTGTAACATTAAAATAAACGGCTAGGAAATTGAAAACTTGAATTTGTTGAAAGGCTGCCTTACGAACGCTGGGTTGTTTACTTATTCTTTGGCCTGATGGCTGTCATTGCTTTTCAAGTTTTCATAAAGCATACGGCAGTTATTGCTCAAAGGGTACTTAAATATGCCAAATGTCACCAAGAACAGTTTTGCGCGTGGAAAGAATGTATTTTTCAGACAATAAAAATGAAACAAAAAATTAACAGACGATATTTGGCGATTGGTAAATTGGATCAATAGAAGTAAGTTTTCTTCTTTTTGTTACTTTTGACATTTATGAAATTTATTAATTTCAGCTTTGCTTTTTCTAAACAGTCTGACATTGTCATAATTGTCGGCAAAAAATAAAATTGAGGTACCACATGGAGAAAATCTTTAAAAAAAGTAGTTTCGTCATTGAAAAGTTAGAAGTTATATTTTGATAATTTCACTGTGAAATTATCAAACATAATTTTCACAGATAAATCAGTAATCCACTGAAATGCATAAAATAAATCAAAATAACTGTATCAGAAAAATGTGTCTGATAATCGAATTGTTGCGAACGTACAACGCGGTCGGTTGACGGATAAATGGACATCAAGCCGAATTCTCTGCGGATTGATAAATTAATTCTTATAGGGCTGGAAGTCAATGATAAAAGTATTAAGGGATAATCTTAGTACCTGTTAATTACCTGTACTTAGTTAAGCACCTGAGTAAAATAAGCAATGTTGAGTAAACTATAGCTGGATAGCTTCCTTAACATGAGTTAAAAGTCTCAGGTGAGTTGAATCTCACAGCGGTAAGAGAGGCAAGAGACTCGAAGACGACGACCTGAGCCACTTGGTCGCGAACGTCTGTTGTTTTCGATTATGAACATGATATCTTTTGATAAAACCTTATCAAATATTTGATTAAAATAAAAGTTGTGAGTTAAAAATAAATCAATATATTCAATAATAAAATGTGAATAAATTAATTTAATCTCGTCTGCGAAAAACGCAACTCACATTCACCTTAACCTTTAGACCACAATCATCATTTGCTTGTTGTCGATGATTATGTCTGTTAATTCGTCATTATTTCAAACAAAATATTTGATTTTTACCTTCTACTTCTTTTTTTAGATATTTGTTATCTACCGAAGATGCCGATATTCAAATACACTGGCGTGGTAAGATCTTACGTACACAAATTCATTAAAGTGATAATAACAATTTTATTTTCTTCCAATGTACCCCCCCCCCCCCCTGCAATATCCTTAATCGCCTTTATAGTTTTAGTTAATCGTCTTTACTGTATGATTTTTTCTCAAGCACCCATATTATAGAAATAATTCTTTGCATGTATTATCATCATTATTACATTATCTACCTAAAATTTAAAGATAATGGTTTAACTTATAACACTTCATCATAATTAAAACGGCATCTGATAAAAGTTAGAAGTGATATTACTTGACCGGTAATAGGGAATGTAGTTTCTCATAAATATACCGTATTTTCTTTTATTACAATAAGACATATATAGTAAGAATTTCATAGATTTCTACGATAAAAATCTTAATCTCATAAATGAGTTAAAATTATTTTAATTAACAATGTTGTGTATTCATGTCAGGTGTACATGTTGCTTTCAACCTTTATCAATACAACAGAAGGCGCGTTGAGCTGTGTTGAACATTCTGATGTAAGTGTTTGTTTATTAATTTACCTTTATTCTTTCATTGCTAAAGAAATATAAAATTCAAACAAAAGAAACGAGAGTGTCATAAATTGCGTTGTTTTGCATAGGCCTATTTATGATCAAATACTGATCTTTAGCTTGATTAGGAAAAAATTCTTTGATTTTACCATGTGACCTAATTCTTTGACACACATATTTTAAACTTGTATATCATCCAGACAGATATTGAAGATTCAATATAAAATGTAATCTTAAGAGTATGAACAAAGTTTTTTGTTTCATTTGATCCGATGATCTAGTTATAGACCAAAAACATATTCGAAACTAACCATTTTACAAGTATAACTGGTAAAAGCGCCTATTTATTACATTGTGCTCAAGTGACCTTAATTGAATTCAAATTCTGTTTACAATGATTTATGTGGCTGGAAACATCAACCGCTTAAAAACCAGAAAACAGTCTAAAACATAGCTTTAAAATTCCTTAAATATACGATTTTGGGCTTGGATATTCAAGGGTCAAGGTTTCAGTGACGATTAAAACTGTTCGTGATAAATATCTAGACAACTATGTAAATGGAGAAAAACAGAATCCTTCAAGAATGTCACAATAATAAAAATGAAAATAATGCAGGGTTTGTTTGAGTTTGTTCGTGTACGGTACTGGAAAGTGCAGGTTAACGTTCAGGCCCAATAGCACCGGCTTGAGCAGAATTCAACATTTAAACACAAAAGGGGTGAAATTTTAGAAACATTCGCAAATATGCTCATACAGCCGATATCATGGAACCTTCAAATTTACTCTAAAACGTTCAAAAGATGTTCGGCCGTATTGACTACATCTTTTTGTTAGCAGTTCTTGTGACAAATCACATAATCAAATGATATAGTAGAGATAAAGTAGATGGATATTATTGGATATTATTGATTAGTTCAACAAAAATGGAATCTGTTTAGTAACGGTTCAGTATTTTTCTATTTCAGTGTCCTGCCGGAAGTGCATGTTTGCTTCCGGGAATTGGAAAAGCAACACAATTTGCCCCAAAACTATGTTACCCGTGTAAGTTAAATACGTCGAACATTTTTTAACAATTAATCAGCAATATCTTCTAAATGTTCAAAATGATATTTACTTTGTTTCTTTATTTCTCGTAATGAATATTTTTGCATTTCTTAAACTATCATTGTAAATACTCTAAGATTTGCCTTTCTTCTTCTTATTTTTTTAAAACTTTTTTTCTATTTTTTTTTTTTTCTAAAAAATCATGGCCTTTAGAATACAATCATTTTAAACCTAAACCTCCGTTACATTTCATAAATGATATATTTTGAAAAGTTGTAATTACATAGTTTGGTTTTCAATATTACTATTATAGTTCCCGTTCAAAAGAGCTAATAAAAATTACAAAAATACTCAAGGGAACCAGCTTTTAAAAATTAAGTTTATATTGACAAAGATTGCATTGCATTCCAAGTGGTAGTTTCATAACTGCCAATGAATTAACTTAGGCACAACAAATTTATTAATGGCATCTTTTTTAGGTTCATGTGCCGACTTGAATCAATGTTACATTGAAGGAGGCATGGTGACGCAATGCAACTGTTCTGGGTCGGGTTTTACTGGATGCAACTGTGAAACAAGTAAACATCCGTTTTACGTGATTGTTCTCAATCAAAATCGTTGAACTTTACTTTAAATTTGATAATTTTATTTTCACATAACACCGACAAAGTACAGGTCATATGGTGACTTTAGAGCTTTACTGGTGGTGGAAGACCTCACGTGTCCGTGCATGCATTATTTCAGGCACAAACGGGCGCCTGCATAGAACTGGCTAGCTTTATATATTTATTGATATATGATTGCTTGCAACATTCTAGAATTATGTTACAATTTTATCAAATAAGTGAACAAGGTAATGCGACAGTGAACTTACTTAGGGAAGAAGTATTGTGAGATCATTCGGACAACTACTAATGCAAGCTTATTTTGAAGATATTTTATGATCTTGTATAAATTAACATTATTATATCGAGCAACGTTTATCAATATCTATTAGTTATCTTTAAAGTCGTATACTGTAAAATGTCTGTATAACTTATGTATGAATTGCATTCTTTCAAATATATTTTTGTATTCTTCAAATAAATCATTTTTATGATTAAAGATATAGTAAGCTAATCCTTGAGTAAAATATTTTAATCACAAAACATATTTGAAATATTTGAAATTCTTACTAAATATGTTTAATTTGAATAAAAGAATGAATAGATTATGTACGGGAAGCTGCGTTTCCTATTACGGGACAAGTCTTTTCTTTCAAAAAATATGCCAGTTTTGTTATGACACTATATTATTCTATTAATGTGTTGAATTCAAACAACATAACAAGTGTACTTTGTGAAGTCAAAGCATGTTTATTTATTTTACAATTGCAAAGAGACTGTGTAGCAATTATCAATATTTTCTAATATCAAATTCTAGCAAAGTATATCTTTAATTTAGATATTGATGATTGTGCTAATTCACCATGTTTGCATGGAGGTACATGTAATGACTGGATCAATTACTACAATTGCACATGTTTGCCTGGATTTAGTGGAGAGAACTGTGAAATAGGTACGTTGTTAATCCAAATTATTATGCCGAACTTTCTTTCATTTTGAGCTTTACAAATTGAAAATGCATTTGCATAGGATTTACAATCCATGCATACTTCATGTTTTTAATTTTATGCTTTGACCAAAACCTATCTACGGTTGAAACCTTACATGACTTTTGGTTAAACTTCAGTTGGGGGAGGGTACTTCTATCTGATATTTATTTTACTTTGCTTTAAATCATCTATCACAAAATTGTCTAACAGAAGTTTTAAACATGAAGTGAAATACTTCTATACCGTACTACATTTTCTCTTAACACATTATTTAAAATTCTCTGTCAAAGTCGTTTAGAATTTTTTTCATGAAGATCATACTTTTAAGTCAGAATTCAATATAGATGACAAATAACTGTGATTTCATTTTCTGTATTATAGCTCTCAGAGGTTGTGATGATTTGCAACCCGAGGACAGAGTTAATGGGGAATATGTCATCTACAATAGCCAAGACGAGCCATACAAAGTGTACTGCGAATTCCACGCAAGTTATGGCTACACGTTTATACTAAAAGAAAACGCTGGAAAGGCTGACCTGAACCGCCTTTGGTCATATTATACTGAAGTGTTAGTAAGACACTTGCGTTCAAATGGACATCAGTATGATACTACAATGGAACAGGCTGGTAGTTATTCTGCATTGGTTCCGAATCTAAGTATCCAGTACAATACAAATGTTGCTTATGAAACTCCAGTCAACAGTGCAACAATGGGTCCTTATTTGTATCTTGGCTTCTTACCAACGGCTTTTGCATCAAGCCCAACTATACAGGGATACCGAGCAAATGGTACCGACTACACGTTCTCGAATTGTGATGACACTCCTAATAGTTATCTGGCATTCTTTGTTAACCCCAACAATAACGATCCAACTGACAAGCACTTGAGTTGCTGCTATACACCATTGATGAGATATTGGATTGAAGATGCTGCTAACCAGGCTTCGAATTATATTCCGTGGGATTACTTCTACCAGTTTGAGATGAGCATGGGAGGCTGTAGTGGATATGCTATCAATGGCTACAACACTTTGGTAGACATAGTTGGTGCAACGTTAGGTTTTCGTTTTGGTATGTAGTTTAATGTACTATCAATTATTTTACTCAAAATATTTCAAATGAAAATTCAGTAGCATGTCAACATACTGTATTTTCAATTATGCAATATTGACTGACAAATTATGATATAACAAAATGTAATAAATAATGATATAACAGAATTTGTTACTTTACATTATTGCCAATAATATCTAAAATATTTAATTCAAATATTGCATGTTGTTTTTTAAAGAGAAACACGTCCCTCTTACCATTTTAGGCTATAACTAATCGGCATTTAAAGTATCTCTTCTATTTTTCAGATAACTAGAAAGGCTCAATAATTGCTATTGAAAAGAAAACATATTGGACGACATCCTGAAGAAAACCTTTGAACGATTGCATTAGATTATGCACATCTTTTCATATATATTTATTATGTCCATATACGTTTGTCCGTCTTTTGAGGATTATGCCCTAATTACTGAGACAAATAACATGTTGTACAAAGTTGGGAACATTTATTGCCATAAATATACGGTGTCCTATTTTCCGATAATACCATCTCTTAGTCGAAAACACAAATAACATAGTGCGCAGTTTCTAAAACATGCCATTTTTCTAAGCCCTTCTTTTGCTAACACAAATTACATAATGTAACAGTTTGTGACTATTATTATGCCTATACATTTACTATATATCTTACCTTTTGAAGGTAATGCTGATTATGCACTCCAGTTTGCTGACATAAATGATTTAATATACCAAGTTCTAAAACAAACTGTTAAAATAAATATGCATTTACGATGCATCGGCTTTTGCTCACAAAGGTAGCAAAATATACATCTTTGAAACACTCTTACTGAAAATGCCCTTCCTTCCGATTGCTTCAATAAAATAATGAAACCACTACGACTTTAAATTTCTGCAATCATTTTTCCTGACACAAAAACAAAATGCAGGAAGTTTAGAAACAATTTATCATGCATTTACATATTCTTTCTTTTGTTGGTACAAATAATGCAGTACGTCATGTAAGTTGGAAAAACTTGTATGTCTATACATTTACTATGCTCTCCACTTCGTTGGCACAAATAACAAAATGCCCTAAGCTGGGAAATACTTTTATGCCTTCTTATTTGCTACGGTGGGAAAATCTTTACATTTGTTAACTGAACACTTATAATGTGCTGTAAATTTGTTGTACATCCATTTACATAAATAGTTACGACAGAAAATATATATGCTTAAGTAGTAGTAGATATATCTTTCCAGAATCCTGATAATCTGAATTAAAAGCTGGATATTGTTGAAGAATCATCTAAATATTCAAAGAGTCGGAAAATTTTATCTGATGAAACGACGCCTGAAATCTGAAACTCGCAAACTATCACTTTATAACGTTATTTCCTATGAATGTTTGTGTACAGCCATTAAATTTAATTATCTTGTTCTTTATTTGTTTGTATAGAATTATATTATGGTTTCTTTCTCATATGGGTATTATTCCTGAATTGGTAATTGATGCAAGAAATTGAACAAAAATAATGAACAACAATTTACACTTGATGAATTTCAATTTTGTTTGCAACAAATCGTCCTCTGGTGCTATTTGATTATGTCACTTTCCTGTTTCTTACTTTCATTATTTGTAAAACTGAAAATTGATGTTATATCAGGTTACCATATGAATGTGTTTAGGGTTGTTTTTTTTTGTTTTTTTTTGTGTATTTTTAGGTATTTGTTTTAAATATTGTACTTGTATATATTTAATTTACTTGAATAAAACATTTTCTTCCCTCCCCTCTCATGTGTTGTGTTTGTTTGCAAAAAAAACATATTTTTGTAATTTCGGTCCCATACATTTGATGTTGCCATTATTACGTACTCCGTGAGATCGGGATTTACGTTTACTAATGTTCAAAATAGAAAATATATCTTTGGTACCATATATTGAAGGTATCATAATTATAATGTGATAATCAACTTATACATTGATACTTTTGTTCAATACATCGATAAAATGGTATCATATATTGTAACAAAGAATTTATATATTGATAATTCGGTTCCATATAAGGACATCTGGTTCCATACAATGCTTATTTGGTGCCATATATTGAAGAACTGGTATCATATAATGTAATTATCAACTTATATATTGCTACTTTGGTTCAATACATCGATAAAATGGTATCATCTATTGTAAAAACGAATAAATACATTGATAATTCGGTTCCATATAAGGACACCTGGTTACATACATGATACCAGTTCTTCAATGTATGCACTAAAGAAGCCGAATCAAATAGTTTTTAGAAATGAGGGAAAGGTAACAAGAACTGTCAAAGGACCACCGTGCTTCACTTTCCTCAGTCCTTCATGGCACATTGGGACATTTTCTATATATTAAGGAAATATTTGAATCACGTTCACCCCGACATTTAAATGGGCATGGCAGGCAGAACTTATCAATATAAATGTATGTAAAGTTTAAAAGTCATAATTGAAGCTACTGACCATAAATAAGAACATTTTTAAAGATAAGTGCATCTCGACCTTTTACCTTTGATCGAAAATGAGCACTGACAGTAGGAGACATAAAGTTTTATCTACTCACAAAGTTTGAAAATGACCAGTCAATGCATTGGGTTTTTTTTAAATAATTGTATGCCTTTTTATAGCAGAACACAGTGACCTTCGCATTGGACTTGTTGACCTGAAAATAAGCTACTTTGGTTCCATATAATGGAAAATTGCTATCTTATAATGTGTCACAAGTCAGAGATGGCCAGAGTGGGTAGTTCTATCATCAAAATAACTATTTTACAAAAAAGACCTTTTACATTTATATACACATTTATTTATACAATAAAATTCAATACATTCACTAAAATATATAATTTTATCAAATAGAAAAGTACTTATTTGATAGTTATGAAATTTTAAATTCCCTAAAGTAATTAAGAAATTTTAATTATTGTCACTGGAAAATATCCTTAGAAAACATATTAAAACACATATATTGTCTCTATCGTTCATTCCACTTAACAGTTTATTTTGCCGTCCAAAACACTATGTAAAATGCCACACGGAACTGCTCCGACCTTAAAAGGTCAATATTCACACTAACTTTGAAAGTCAATCACACCGACCATGTAAGGTCATAATAATAAATGTTACCTCCGACCTATAAAGGTCAATTATTGTAATAACAAAATGTCACCTCCGACCAACAAAGGTCAATGTAGAACAGCAAAATAAAAGGTTACGATTCTGCGTAGACGATACAATTAATGTTGATCCACTCTCAGCATAATACAAAATACTGTGTGGTATTCAGTTGCTGGTACTTCACGCTAATAAAACCATAGCACCATGCACACTCTTGACATTGATATGTCCTTCAGCCCCATGACCTATCAATGAAGACACTTTTCTTACTAGATATTTTACACACATTAAATTTGAGTAATACAAATATATGAAAGGAAAGTATAGGAAAATAAACCCACATTTACAATTTAACTTATTCAACTTATTCAATATAACAACTTTACTTTTATCAAATAATTTTCCATGTACAAAGGAATTCAACGAAAAACATTTATAATTTGCAAATAATTAAATATTTCACTTACCCTGATATCTAGGTAGACAGTCACTGTTAAATAAAGCTTGTCATTAGAATGGCTTTATAAAATGAACACCATTTTCATTAAATTTAAATAATGAATTCTGCCAAGCTCTAACATCATAATTCTTCATAAAACTGAGCAAAACTGACTGAGTGTAAACCTATATGAACTATAGATAACAGTACATTTTAACACATTGGCCAGCTAACTAATACAGGTAAGTGTTCACTCAGGTATGAAGAAAACTATTTACACTGGTCAGTATTATAACTGTCTATTCCTAGAAACAGGTTTATAAGAGATTATATTTAAAAATAGATAAAATATAATTGATTTTGTGACATAATGTAACAAACAACGGATAGACTGCTACTTAGGTTCCATATATTAATTAAATGGTTTCATATATTGTAAAAATGAATTACTATATTGATAATACGGTTTCATATGAGGATATCTGGATCCATATATGGCTATTTTGGTACAATATATTG